AGTGCACAAATGCTTAACCAGAAAATCATTCGAACCCTTAGCATCTTGCTCTCTGCTCCATTTATCTATGAAAGTAGCATTCTTAATCGCCATCACATCGTCACGAAGAGTGAGCGAGATTGGGGCACTCATGGCTCACCTCCCATACACAATATTCCATAAGGACAAAGTGGCTCTGAGGACTCACCCAAAATTCATACCCAAAATATCATCCTCATTCCACCTTAACCAACCAATTCACCTACCCACTTTCCACCCTAAACCACACAACAACCCACAAGAGGCAGCATTACACACATTAGATGTCTGCCGTGCCCTGGGCTTTTAGCTAGACAGGACAAAGACCTTTTGTAAATCCCCCAGACTGTTTGTATCAACAACGGAAAGGTTGAAAGGCACAGCTATATCAACACAAAGACTATTGAAGTGGATATCAAACTGCATCCACTTGTGCTACTCCTTATGCAACACTGAAGCCCCAACAGGCATCAGAACACACTTGATGAGGTCTGTAGCAACTTCTACAGCATTCCTGCACAACGTGCCCATCCTTGACATATGCAGAGCAGCTACATGGGCATCCAAACACACTTTCACCGGTCATTACGCAATCACGCTTAGCTCGAGAGCAGATGCTAAATTAGGCTGCACGGTCCTACCAGCAGCTACACAATCAACTCCAAAGCCCCTTCGATCCACATGAGGGCACTGCTCTACATTCACTTGAAGTGCAGCACCCACAGGGACACCACTTGAAGAAGAGGTTTCTCACCTCGAGGTTCTTCGAGATGTGTATCCCTGTGGGTGCTCCACTACCCACCCTCCTCCCCTCTACTTTGGAGTAAGAATCAACTGCTCCACAGAAGAGAAGGAACTGAGGGGTTCGGGGCATGTGCGTGCCAGAAGAGGCGTCAATGCCGCCATAAGACAGCTTCTGCGCACGCACGCCCCAACCAGACACTGCTAGCAAAATCTCCGATGGATGACACTGGGACGCACCGCCACCTGAAGTGGAGCACCCACAGGGGGACACATCTCGAAGAACCTCAATTACTGCACAAGGTGAGTAACCTTCTCTTCACCTTGTGCCTACATAGTCTTTGCAAAATCTCTGGGCTGCATAATACAGTTAAAACCCTATTTCCTCAGCAAAACCAGCACACTCAACCAACCCTAACCTACAGGCACATGCATATCTCCCCTCCATGCTTGTTGGAGATGGCATTGAGAGCAGGGAGAGTGCTGGAATAATTATTATTAATTATTTGTATTTTGGGAGCACCTAGGAACCCCAGCCATTGTGCTAGGTGCTGAACAAATGTAGAACAAAGACTGTCCCTGCCCCAGAAGCTTTACAGTCTTTTGTAAATATCTGTCCTGCTTTCTCAAAAGAAGTGAGTGGGCAAGGACCTTCCCAGCAAGGAACTCCCTGCTCAGACCTCCCCACCCAAGTGTTATACAAGGAGGGAGGTGTGTGTTATGTGGCTGACTGACATCTGTATCCCCATCTGGTCAAAATACTTTAGTGCTCTGGTTCCCTCTCATGGACAGTAGGAGTATTACACTTTCTTCAGTCATCCGTATTGCTGCAGTTTTCGTCTGTGGCTGAAGACTCGGTGGTTCTTTGTCTCTGACCTGTTCCCTGGTCTGTGGCAGTGAATCCTGAGGTCCTTGCCCATGGCCCTGATTGCCATATATGTTCCTGTAGTTGCTAGGTGTCCTAGGAAGCTTCAGGGGACCATGGGGAGGCCAGGAAATACTTGTGCCTTGTGTCAGTCTGCCAGTGTGGGGGGGGGGTATGCACCTTCCAGCCTGGCTGTAATGACAATCCCCTTTGTCTCCTGCAGGTGGAGTATGACCCCTCCAACAGTGAACGCCTACTATTCCCCCACCAAGAACGAAATTGTGTTCCCAGCCGGGATCCTGCAGGCTCCTTTTTACACCCGCACCTCCCCCAAGTATGAACATCCTCTTGCTCATCTGCTGCCCCCCTCTCCCGGTGTTCTTCCCCCACTCCACCCTGCTCCCCTAAGCTGGAGGGGGATGGGGACTCTGTGATGGCAGCAGCCTGGTTGGAAGATGGTGGGTGCCTCACACACCTCTGTATCCTAGTCTACAACCGTCAGTAGCTAAGGAGGGTCCTGTCCTGAGCTGGGGGCTAGAAAACAGCCAGGGGAGGAATGCTGGGGCTCAGAGAGATTGCACCAGCTCTGCCAGACTCACGCTAGGAGACTCCATGGATCTTGATGCCAGTGCGCATAGAGCTGCCAGCTTTGCCGGGGACAGTGGTGGATGTGTGCTCTTTCAGCACAGGATCTGGACCTTTTCCCCCCGAGTTAGTCTAATGTTCCCCCTCTTGTCAGGCTGCTTGCCTAAGGAGACAATGAAGGACTTGCAACCATTTTTTGACCCCTCCCCATCTTGTGCCGCCCTCCCCATTATCAGAGAAGGCATCTCTCTGGCCAGGTCCATGGGGCTGCCTGGACAGACGGGGCTGTAGGACAGACCAGTAGAAGATGGCCTAGTGGCAGGTCTGTGCAACATGGAGGGAAACCCAGAAAAACTGAGGAGATGCACCATCCCCAGAGATTCCCAGTCTGGAGGAGGCCACACCTTCACTTTCTTAGTTCTTCTATGCTGGCACCTGGTAGACATGCAACATTATGGGTTCATACAGTCTTGTATCTAATGGTAACATGGAAATAACATGCCTGGCTAGCTACAAAGTGGCTCATTTGGGGCCTAGAGAATCCACAGTAGGTTTATCCTTGTGTCCTGGTGTCCAACAGCCTGAGGGGCTCTGTAATCAACTCTACATTTCATAGCTTCTCGTAAGTCCCATTGCTGGAACTGTCTGCAGCCCCCGGTGGAACATGAAGGGGGCTTTTTAAAAATAGGTTCAGATTTCCCTCTGCACTTCAGTCCTTTGCAGAAAACACCATAGAGCTGTTTAATGGAGGTTGGCAGTGCAGCAGATTCATTGTGCAATTGGCATTAATAGGAAGATGTGACAATTTCAACATGCATGGGGCTGTCTCCCCTTAGGACTCTTTCTGTCCGCAGGGGGAAGCCAAGGCAAGAATAGCAAAAAAGTGGGGTAAGGAGGAGCAGCTCTACATAGTCCAAGTGAAAGCTGCCTCCTAGTCCATTTCCCCTACCTTAGTGCTCTGGTGGGTAGGGTCACAGGGCCTATGTGCAGACATTAGTAGGCAATGGCCTTAGTGAAGCACGAATCCTAATACTCTTTGTCCCTCTCACGCAGGGCACTGAACTTTGGTGGCATTGGTGTCGTCGTGGGCCACGAGCTGACTCATGCCTTTGATGACCAAGGTGGGCAGCCTGAAGTCACCTTACTTCCTGTTGCTTTCTCTCCATCTTCCTCTTCCTAGTGGAACTCTGTTTTCCTCTTTGTTGAAAGGCTCCCAGTGCCAGGAGTCAAAATTAAACTGTGGTGGCCCTCTGTATCAAAGAGCCCTTCTCAAAGTGGATCTTGTGAGAATGGGCCAGAGCCATCCCTCATGTAACTCCAGTGACCTGCATGGAGCTACACCAGGTACAAATCTGTCCCAGAATGTCTAAATATGTTTGACATCTGAGACTCTGCCTAGTCTCTGAGGTGGAAAAATCTAACTGGGTGAAAGAAGGCAAGAGGAATTTATTTTTGCTGCTTTTCTGCCAGAATGAGGAAACCTACATGTGGCTCATTAATGGTGAGGGCCTTAAAATGGGACAGTCAGGGTGTCACGGGGTGTGACCCCTCTCCTACCTTCTCCCCCAGAAACTACACAGACTCCTTTGATTGTGCCTTCACTGTGCCTTTTTATTTTATGTTCCCTGTACCAATTTCACAACAGTCCTTGTGCAACAGCCTGTTTGCAATATTCAACTGACTTTTGGCCCTCTCACCAGGACCTGAGGGTCACCAAGGACTCCTTGTTCCGAACCTCTGATGGGGAATTGTCTCAGCCAAGCAGCCTGATTGACTAATTCCCCCCAGCTTCCTACTGAGCAACTAATTACTATTCAAGTGATCAGAGTGCAGGGTCACTTGTTTGCACCCTGCACTCTGACACAAGGGGGTATCTTACTAATGCCAAAAGCATTTTGTGATGATCTGTTGCTGTTTGCAATCTCTTCCTGTGGGATTTATGGTGGTGCAATAAAATAAAGATCAATAAGTTCAGGGGGTCTCAGAACTCGCTCCTCCTCTCTCTGAAGAGGCCATGCCGTTGCCAGTATGCTCACTGCATCTCCAAGCCCACAAATTGTGTGCTCTAAATATCAAACAACCCCCGCTCCACACACACATAGGCTTGGTTCTGCCAAAGGCCATCTCAGATTAAGTATCTTCTAGTTCCAGTGTTTCACTTGGTCTGCTCCTCTGCAGGGCGGGAGTATGATAAAGATGGGAATCTGCGCCCTTGGTGGAAGAACTCCTCTGTGGAGGCCTTCAAGCAGCAGACTGAGTGCATGGTGGAACAATACAGCAACTACACCGTGAACGGCGAGGCAGTGAATGGCAAACACACTCTGGGAGAGAATATTGCTGACAACGGGGGCCTCAAAGCTGCATATCGGGTAGGAATCTAGTACAGGCACAGGCTTCGTCTGGTATCTCTCATTGCAGCCATGGCTGTGGGGATCCTTTTGTAGTCCTAGACTTTCCCCTGATGCTACAGCTGGAGAGACATTCCTGGTTATACAGTGATGGCAAGGTGAATTGCTCTAAGGAAATGTAAAATTCTGAGCCCCTCTTCTATGCAGTGTCCTCTCTGAGGAAGGGGGTGGGCCATGACCATATATAAGTCTTCAGGTGATTCTTGGATTTGGGATCTGCTGTCCTTGGACCAGGAAATTGTAGACCTGATAATCTGCAGCCCGTAGAGGGTGGATCTGCAGGAGAGGGCTTTTGAAGGAGATTCAAGGAAGGGAAGAACCTAGGGTGACCAGATGACAAAACTGAAATATCGGGACGCGGGGGAGGAGGGGGGCGGCAGAAGAAAAAAATAAAACAAGCCGCCGGAACGCCCCCCCACACCAGCTCGCCCCTGGAGTGGGGACAGCAGGCCCCAGCTCCCCGGATCCACGGGTCCACGTGGCGGGAGGTGAAGCCCCGTCGGAGTCCCCATGCGGACAGCTGCTGCCTCTCCACCCCCACCCATGGGCATGTACAGGGAGCCAGTTCCCCAGGCCGGACCTGGGGCTGCCCCTGCAGGTACCGCCCCGCCCTCCTGCCTGCGCTTGGGGCCAGGCCGGACTGACTCACCCCGCACTCTCCTGCGTCCCCCGGGCCTCCCTCCAGCGCTTGCACCGCCATACAGCTGATCGGCGCAAGTCTGGGAGGGAGGAGGAATGGCGTGCTTGGGGAAGAGGCGGGGATTTGGGGAGGGATCCAATGGGGCAGTGAGGGGGCGGGTCCAGGGCGGGGATTTGGGGAGGGATCCAATGGGGGAAGGAGGGGGCGGAGCGGCCTGTGCGCGGGAGCGGAGGGCAAAATTGCTTGTTTGTCCAGTGTCCCAACCAAACATTGGTCGGGACGCGGGACAAACAAGCAAATATCGGGACAGACCCGATTAAAATCGGGACGTCTGGTCACCCTAGAAGAACCTGACTATTTTAACTGGAAGAGGCTTTAACTCCTCTCCAGATCCTCCCATTTTCAATGGCATATGTAGCAAATGTGATAGGAGGTGATGAGTCTGCCTTGAGTGGATACAAGTTTCTCCCTGCGCAGCTCTGACAGGTCATGCTCCCTCAATGGATCCCCATTCTGATTTGTTTCCTATAGGCCATATGTAATCCTGGGTGTCACGGATAGAGCTAGGGAAAACTTTTTGGATTAATCATTTATTTGCCAAAAAATACAGTTTGGGGTCAACCAAAATTATTCACAAATTCAGTTCGAATTTGGCAAATAGTTTCAGATGAAAACAAATGAAAGAGTCAGGTCGGTTCATTTCAATGTTTTCTAAACAAAGCAGGTTGACTTCTGGTTTCAAAATGATGCTTCATGTTGAAATTGAGCTAGATTTTTGTTTTTTTTTTTTTTTTAAAGGTAAATAACCCCCCAAAACTAGCCACAACAAAAAATTCAGGGGAAAAGTTGTTTTGAGTTTAATGAAACATTTCATTCAACCTGAAAAGATTTTTGTTTTAGATTTTTCATTTCAGTCCCTGAACCAAAGGCAATTATTTGCTCAGCTCTAGTGGGAGGTTTATTTTGTGCTTTCTCTTCCCTTCGCAGCCCCTAGGGCTGTCTTAGATTTTTTTTCTGGCTTTCTGTGACCAAATGGAAAATGGGCACAGGGGAAGACTCTTGCAATGCTGACATTTCCCTCCCTGCCAGCATGTGCCATGGAGACTGGACTGGTGTAGTCCCTTAAGGGTTAATGTCCCCCTGGCTAGCTGCACCAGCATTTCGTACCCCCACAAGGCAGTGGGAGTGTCTCTGATCCTCTAACTCCATCCACTATGTCCCTCTGCTGATGCAGGATAGCCTCTGTTCTCTCCTGCCTGCAGGCTTATCAAAATTGGGTGAAGAAGAATGGGAATGAGGAGTCTTTGCCGACGCTTGGCCTCTCCAACAACCAACTCTTCTTTGTGGGATTCGCCCAGGTGAGTCTCTGCCATCCCCCAACCCTTTGTTCTGTCTCCAGGTGCACTGTGTGAGCTGGGGAATAGCAGTGGCTCCAGCTACTGGGTTAGCGGGAATGCAATTTACAGCAGACTCCACTTTGTAAGGGTGGCAGTGCCCCTCCCATCTTCACCTCCTCCCAAACTCCCTTCGAAGTTCTAGGGCATTCCTTTTCCTGAACTGAGTCCCCACATCAGTAACTGGGATGTGAGCAGTCAGACCTCGTGGTCGCAGTAGGAATCATGAACCAGAGGCCAGAGCCTAGTGTCAGAGCAGGAGTCAGGAACCAAAGCTGAGGGTCAAAACTGGATTACCGGGAGTAAGGGAAGGAAGGAGCAGGACTGGAGCAAGGCAGGAGCTATCTTAGTCATGGGCCAGTGCTTTGAGCAACCACTGAACTGCTGCTGCTGTTAGGCTTAAGAGCCAGTCTGCTGACTTTTCCAACCAATCAGATGAAATACAGGTTAGCTGCACTCATTAGGTTGCCTAGAGACTGGCTCTGCTGCAGGCCCTGATTCCTGACCCCTCAAGTGGCAGAGGAGTGCAGCAAATATGAGTGTTGATGTATTGTGAAGAGAGAGATACATTACAGTCAGTGAGGAAAGCTTGCCTTCCTCTAAAGCATCAGGTAAGAGGCAAGATAACAGACTTGACAAGCCAACTGTCTGATGCATTTTGACAAGTCTAATGCTCATTTTGCAGCAAAGTAAGATATACACTCCTCCAGATAGAACAACTTCAGGTTACAGAAGTCTCTGGGTGAGGCCCCTTTGCTGGTGTAATGATAAGGTTACTTGCAATACACTTTCATCCTCCAGATGTGTGTGTAATGTATGGATCCAGTGTGTGGTTGCTGGTAAACAAGGGAGACCAAGTTGTGACTCAAGCTGCATGGAAACTTGTTTGTATCCGTAGTTGTTGTTTCCTATAATAAACTCCTCCTATTTAAGAAGATCTGTGATTTCCATATGTCATGATAGCTGGGACAGAGACACTTTTCAGCTATAATGAAGCCCGTGAGCTAACTCCTGTTGCCTTGCATTTGCAGGTCTGGTGTTCAGTTCGCACCCCGGAGAGCTCCCACGAAGGACTCATCACTGACCCCCACAGTCCATCGCGTTTCCGAGTCATTGGTACCATCTCCAATTCCAAAGAGTTCTCTGAGCACTTCCACTGTCCTTCCGGCTCCCCTATGAACCCCCAGAAGAAGTGTGAAGTTTGGTGAAAGGAAAAGGACCAGGAAATAGTGGAAACTAACTTTTGGCTTATTGTTCCTTCATCAAGAATTGAATTTCCCAGGCTGTCTGCTCAAAGGGCAGTTTCTTCTTTCAACGAACTGTAAAACTCTCAGCAGGAACGGATCCCTGAGCCCTAGGTATCATCATGGGGGGGAGAGGGATAGCTCAGTGGTTTGAGCATTGGCCTGTATTGGCTTGCTAAACCCAGGGTTGTGAGTTCAATCCTTAAGGGGACCATTTGGGCATTGGTCCTGCTTTGAGCAGGGGTTGGACTAGATGACCTCCTGAGGTTCCTTCCAACCCTGATATTCTATGATCTGAGATTCGATCCACTGTGAAAACCTTTCTTAATCTCACTCACTTGTGAAATGTCTTTTTTTTTAAACCTTGCATAGGGTGTGTGTACATATGCATGTGTCTGTATGCACTGACCCATGTTTACACATACACCGTTAAGCCCCTGCCCTGTCACAGGCTTGAAGACTTTTTCTAATTGATAAAGGGAGACCCACAGATTAAAGTGATAACTGGTTTGACTGTGTATCTAAATATGCCCGACATACGCTAATCTCTCCAGGTGTGTGTGTGTGTGTGTGTGTGTGTGTGTGTACACACACACACACACAAGTTACAGTCGTAAGTTTCAAAAGGCAATAGAAGTTTCTATAAGGAGCAAGCTCTAGATGTCCTTTAGGGCTAACCCAGGCTAAGCACTGGGGATTTTTTGCTTATCTTTTGC